TAACTCCAGCCAATTGCACAGGCAAAGTGGATTCTGCGAGGTTGGAAGGGTGAGCTTTATCTTGGGGTAGTTCTGAGAGAAGACTTTCGGGGAAAATGGAAGTCATTCCTTTCCAAGAAGAGAGGCTGGTCATCTAGCTCTCAGCAACACTGGGGTTCCGGTCCCCGTGCCTATTCATGTCTAAGGCCACACGTTATCAACAACGCGTGCTACTGGGCTCCAAATAATCGCGTTCCCAGAGACCTCACAGGGGCGTCCTCAGTTAGACATCGCAGTCCCTGGATGAGGAGCCGTTTTGATTACTGCTCCATCGCGTTTGCAGAAACAATTGAGGGGGCTTGCCATTCAGTGGCAGAGCCAGGGTTCTAAGCCCGCAGTTAACCCTACTCAACTCTTGTTCATCGAGCCGAATGACTCTGGTGTTGCTTTTTGCTTTGTGTGAAATGAGATTAAACCATGGCTTCAAATGGAGTAGAGGTGGTTCTTTTTTTTGTTTGTTTGTTTGTTTTTGGAGACAAGGTTTCTCTATGTCTTTGGAGGCTGTCCTGGAACTCACTCTGTAGACCAGGCTGGCCTCGAACTCACAGAGATCTGCCTGCCTCTTCCTCCTGAGTGCTGGGATTAAAGGCGTGCGCCACCAACGCCAGGCAGAGGTTGTTCTTTCTTTGTTTCTTTCTTTGTTTCTTTGTTTCTTCTTCCTCTTCTTCCTCTTCTTCCTCTTCTTCCTCTTCTTCTTCTTCCTCTTCCTCTTCCTGCCCCCCTTTCTTATACAGGGTCTCTTTTTGCATCCCAGACTAACCTCAAAGTTGCAATCCTCCAGTCTCAGTTTCCTGAGTGTTGGGATTCACAGGCCTTTACTCCAAGTCCCAGCTAAGAGCTATTTCAATGAAAAGCCTCATTCTGTAGACCCACTAAAGAAACAAAGCCGACCGGAAAGCTGCTACAACTGCTTTGTGGGAGACAGTAAAAGCAAGCAGGAGAAAGGGATGAGCCACACGGGAGGTGCGGTCACCGCACTTTCTAGTCTGGTGGAGACAGTCAGTGTGTATAGACTCAACCACTGACATCAGCGTCTCCAACCATAGAACCTTACTGGATTCTCACCCTATGGAAAAAGAGACTTTCCGTGAGGCTGCCACCAGACTATAGCTTGAAGAGGCAACTTATTGAAGAGCCCTTGGACTCTTGCGAAGGGAGATCCTTTAATCTTCCTGCATAACAGTCAGAAATGGTGTGGGTTTTTTGAGGTAGAACTCAACACTTTAGCACAACTAGCCTGGAATTATATAATTCATGCTGGCTTTGAACTCAGTGACCTTCCTGCCTCAGCCTCCCAAGTGCTGGGACTATAAGTGCCATCTGAGAAAGTATTTTTAATACTTTATTTAAATTTTTATTTTTTAATTTTGGTTTTGCGAGACAGGGTTTCTCTGTGTAGCCCTGGCTGTCCTGGAACTCACTCTGTAGATCTGAGTGGTCTCAATCTCAGAAATCTGCCTGCCTCTTGCCTCCTGAGTGGTGGGATTAAAGATGTTTGCTACCTCCCAGTTATGTCTCAAAAACACAAAAGCAAAACCAAAACCTGCCCAAATCTTTACTCTGCTGCCACAGCACAGCTCCAATAATATGCTCACTCATTCTTGTTAGCCAGAGCTGATGGACAGAAAGATCTACCAAAAACTGGGTTTGCTCAAGAATGTCAGCATTTTTTCCATGCTTCTGCCTCTACAGCATGGGAAATAGTAACTAGGGATTCAAGGGAACACTGTCTTAACTGTCTTGTCCAGACACATAGCACAGATATGGCATGACAACATGGTTAGGACCATACCTAGAAAGGCCTTGATTATGAGTTTGTGCTTACTGGTGGCATCACGTCTTTTTAGCAACAAGAACAAATGAGTTGCTCAAGTAGTGAAAGTGGAGTGGAATAAACATCTGACGTGATAGAGTAGGATGGAGTGGACTTTAAAGAGTGGAGACCAGAGAGGTGAAAAGCCACGCCTGCCTGGTGTGGGTGCTGGTGCACATCTGAAATCCCAGCACTTGGAAGACAGAGGCAGGAGCATCTGTGAGTTCCAGGCAAGCCTGGGCTACTGAGACTATCTCAAAATAAAACACCCAAAACAGTTCACAAAAACTAATTTGTTCTGGAAGTAGGCCTTAAAACACAGCAATGGAAGGTAGACACAGGCAGATCTTTCTGGCCTTCCACAGCTATGTAGTGAGACCTTGTCTCAAAACGATTTGTAATGCTTTCACAACTAACCATTTAGTGCCCCCTAGTGGATAGGTGAGACCAGATCACCATTTGATTTATTCAAGTCCAGTGTTTCACATACACCCCCCTCCACCCCCATACCTTTTTTTTTGGGGGGGGGTGTTTCAAGACAGGGTTTCTCTGTGAAACTGTCCTGGAACTCACTCTGTAGACCAGGCTGGCCTCGGACTCAGAGATCCACCTGCCCTCTACTTCCTGAGTGCTAGCATTAAAGGCCTATGCCACCACCAGGCCCACATTTTTTGAGACTTCATCTATGTAGCTCTGGCTGTCTGGGAGCTATGCAGCCAGGCTGGCCATGAACTCAGGAGATATACCTGCCTCTGCCTCCCAAGTGCTGGGACTGAAGGCATGTACCAACTAAGACCAACATCATATATATATATGTTAACCAAACCAAATGACCAGTAATAGCCCTAGTCATGGAACCTGACAAGGGTTTGGTCCCCAGAACTTCACAAATTCATCCTATTGACCTGTGTGTGTGCTTTGGGACCCATGGCTTCCTCCTAACAATTTAAACAGAAAACAACAGAAATAGGGTAGACTAGATCTCTAAGCAATCCTAAATGCTGGGGTTGGTCCCAGGTCAACCACCACAAAGTTCCCATCTTTCTAATACTGAATTTTAGACTGCTTCCTGTTAATCAGCCTCCACAGAATCTCCGGAGATCACATATTCAAGCTTCATCTCAAGAAAGGGATCTATACAAGAGGTGACTGACCAAATGCTAACTACATTGGTGGCTGTTTTTCCAAGAAACAAGGCTTCATGGACAGCTGCTTGAGTTCTGAAGCACATGTAGGTCCCAGGTAAGACGGTATCTATCAGAACTAGTAATTGGTAGGATGGAGAAGCAGAGGCTGAACTACATCTTATGTTGGAGTGGTTAAGAGCCCTGACTGCTCTTCTAGAATACCTGGGGTGAAGCATGGTGGCAGTGTTTGGTTTTTTGGTGTTTTAAGACAGGGTTTCTCAGTGTAACCTTGGCTGGCCCTGGAACTCACACTGTAGACCAGGCTGGTCTCCCATTCGGAGACCCACTTGCCTCTACTGGGATTAAAGGTGTGGGCCACTAGGCTGGATTCCCAGTATTCACAGGACGATTCCTTGGGAGTCTAACATTTTCTTCTGACCTCCACAGGCAGTGCACATATGATAGACAGGCAAAAGCCATAAATCCCTAAAACCTTTTCTTGTAGTACCCAAGATGCCAATCTGAGGTTACAACACCCAGCTGCAGCCCTCTCTGAGGTCCGCCTCCCCTTGCCTCCTGAGAGCGGATTAAAAGTAGGGCAGGAGGAGTGGTAGTAGCCAGGCCGTTTGTCCCACAGTGGGTAAGCCTGGCTCAGGGAGTGATATCCTTACACTTGACCTTGCTTATCTTGCATTCTTGAATCCATAGTGGCACAAAAGGGGTAGATATGACCCAAATTTACAAACAGGGAAGTAGTAATGGGGTCACTGTACTCCGGTTTTGTCAGGAACATACTTGTTTTGAGACAAGCTCTCACAACATAGCTCTGGATGACCTGGAGAGAGCCACAGGCCTCTGCTTCCCAAGCAATGGGATTAAAGGTGTCCATAGCCCTGTCTGGCTCTGAGGCGTTTAGTCAGTCTAGGCACAGTACATGCCTATAATCCAGGGACTGAGGAAGGCAGGCCCTTGGGTCATCAGAACTTCAAGGAGAGATAAGCAGCTCCACTGAACCAGCCAGGGCTACACAACTTTGTATCAGAAAACAAAAACAACTATCCCTCTTAATAAACTTACAATTGGCAACCCTCTTGAAAACACCAGTACCTCCCTCCCTCTAAACTAACAACCATCTGTGACTTAAGAGAACTGGTATATAAATGGTATTTACACCCAAAGTGCCAAACAATTTTTTCATAAACAACTTTATTCATGACACATTATTTAAAAAAAATTCCCATCCCCTGGAAATGAGTTAAAAAAATAAACAAAATCCACCTCCCACCTCCCTGTTCCCACTTCCTCCCATTCCCTCCAAATAAAAGGGAAAAAAAAGGTAAAGAAAAAAATAAAACAAAACAAAAACACCTGAAAAACAAAAACACCCCAAAACTCCCCAAAACAAAGTAGTGCATTTCCCCAGGGGTAAGGGGAATTTACACTGGAGCCACTGGGAGCGAGATCTTCCGGCTACAGAAACCTGCAAAGAAAGACACTCAAAACAGAAAAAGAAACACAAAAGGAAACAAAATAGATCACCAGGCGAACTGGAGGGGCAGGGAGCCGGAGGAAAGAAGGGGAGGGTGGGCGTAGACCTGGTAGGACAGGAGCAGGCAGGCAGGGACTGCAAAAGGCAGGAGAAGACGAGGGAAGGAGGCAAGCTGAACAGTTTGGTGTCCTTCCAGAGCCCTGGGTAAAAAAAGCCCTCCTACCACCCGTGCCCACCTACCCTTGAGCAGGCCCAAAGAGGGTGACGGGGAGCGGGGGAAACAGGGAGCAGCTTGCACAGTTGAGATGTGTCCATGGCGAATCCCCAGAGGGAATGAATATGTAGCCCCTGCCCCACTCCCTGGGCCTTCCCCTACTCCCCAAAGCAGGTCCCTCCTCACAGTTAGTTATGGGATTCTCCCCCCTTCCACAGTATATCTTTTTTTTTTTAAATATTTTTTTTCCATCAAGGTCATCTTCTGTTTTTCTTTTTTTTTTAATTCTTTTTTTTTTCCTTCTTTCCTCTTTTTTTCCTCTCTCTCCTCCTAATACACACTTTTTTTAGTAAGGGGAATACCATGATGTCGCTCTAGCCCGGCCCCTGGAAGAAAGAAGGAGAGTTAGGTGTTAACACGGTGACTAGAGAGCTCAATGCAAGAAGACCCTCCCCGTGGGCCCACAACTGCCCCAGTGACTGAGGGAGCATCTCAAAAATGAGCGCTAGCTCCCAGGAATAGCAACTGGCAAACTGGGGGCCTTGAGGGGGAAACAGGGTAGGGCAGGAAGTACATCTAAGACACTGAGGGACAAGAAAAAGGATCCATTGTTTATCCAGTCTCCACAGCTCTTAAACCCTATCTGGTGAAAAGGCAGAGTTTATCTGAACACACAATTGAAATGCAAGGACAAAAGTAAAGCACAGCCACCAAACGGCGCCACAGGGCCAATCAGACAGCTGACCTTGGAACACACGGGGTGGGAGGATAGGCCTGCGGCTGGGTTCCAAGGAATCACACTCAAACCTCTCCCTAACTCTGCCAGAAGCAACAATGTGTTCAAGCCCTGCCCTCCCTACCAGAGGCTTTATCATTCTTAATGCGAACACTTTCTCACTGTACCAATTCCCAAAGGAAGAAAGCGAGGGGGAGGAGACAGCTCAGAACAAGTTTGCCCTCATCAGTTTCTCCTCGAGAAAACAGAACTGGCCTCCTGAACTGGCCTGCAACTACTTCCTCCCTCTGCACAAGCAGGAGGACCAAGTCTCTGGAAACCAAAAGGAGGACAAGGGAGCGAGGGTCCTCAGATCAGAGAGAATGAAGCCTAAGGGCTCATGGGAGGCGGAGAGGAGGAGCAGCCCATCTATCCTGACCTGTAGACTCGACCCCGGGGCCTGCTGTTAAAACCGCTGTAGAATCGAGATCGGGAGCTGTTGTAATTGGTAGTCCGGGCACGGTATCGGGCACGCGGGAAACCCCGGTCTGTTGTACTGATGCCTGGTCTGTTGGTCCGTTTGGGAATCACCTGTAAAGGACAGAGGACAGAAAGTCTTGGAGTCAAGGCAGAGAGTCAGCACAGAACCCATAGCCAAGGCACTATGCTTACCTTGATTTGTCTTCCTCTAAACAGGGACTCGTCTAAGGCCAGGGAAGTCCTCACCGACTCTTTGTCTGAGAACTCTATATATGCAAACCTGGAAAAAAATAACATGTCATTTTATTGGATTTTACAACTTGTAAAAACAGTTAATTGGAAAGCAACTTGGTAATATTTTTAAATGATTAAATTATTCCAATAACAGTATTTAAAAAAATTTCTAACTACTTTTGGAGATAGTGAATACAGCTTGCAATCCCAGCTACTCAGCAAGCTGAGGCAGCAGGACCCAAGTTCAAGGCCTGTTCATGCTAGAGTTGACTAGCTTGGGTAAATTAAAGACTCTGTTTCACAATAAAGTGTGAAAACGCGTGTGAGTGCTATGTGTACAATGACTCAGAAACAGCACTTGCCCAGCATACATGCTGAGTCCATTGTCAATCTCCAGCACCACAAAAGTAAAAAAGTAACAAGGCCCAGATTTCTATGTAGCCACACATAACCACGTGGTGCCAACTAGAGGCCACTGTCCCTTTCTAGTTTATAATCTCATCCCTGCCAGTCTTTAATATCTGGCTTCTGAAGATATTTAATATACAATTACTGATAATACATAGATACTTACTAGGCAAAAAATTCACTTGTTTTAACAGTTATTTACTAGTTTATAGAAAATATGAAATGTAAAAGTTTGGCTAGGAGCCGGGCGTTGGTGGCACACGCCTTTAATCCCAGCACTCAGGAGGCAGAGGCAGTGGGATCTCTGTGAGTTCGAGGCCAGCCTGGTCTACAGAGCTAGTTCCAGGACAGCCTCCAAAACAATACAGAGAAACCCTGTCTCAAAAGTTTGGCTAGGAGTGCATGACTTTACTCCCAGAACTTAGGAGACAGAGGCAGAGACAGAGGCAGGTGATCCTTGAGTCTGAGGCCAGCCTGGTCTATAGAGCTAATTCCAGGATAGCCAGGGCTACACAGAAAAGCTCTTGCCTCAAAAATAATTAAGTAAAAATAAATAAAAACTATGAGTTCACACTGCTAGATCAACAGCAGAACACATTCTCAGCAAGTTAAGACTTGGAGAATGGTGGTAGTGGTATAAAAGCAGCTTTAAACCATAGCTAAAATGATCAACTTCCTCTTCTACTCACCCTTTAGGATGGCCGCTAAATTTGTCACAGAGTATAGTGACACGGTTGACTGAACCACAGCCATGAAAGTGGGCTTCCAGCTCTTCTGCTGTCGCACCATAGTCCACCTAAGGAAAGGAAGGAACATTGTACAAGTACTGGAAAACTCCTACTTGAACAGTACTCTGTCCAGATGTCTATAGTTTGGGTCCATCAAGTATTGTTCCCCTTTCTTCCAACTCTAGAATAAGTATTTCATTATCTTTATCTCCTCACAACCTTCCCCCACAAACCCCAAACTGAAAACTAATTCTAGAGATTCCTTTCAAAATTATTAAGTAACTCCCTCAAATAGAATAGGATGCACACGCCTTTCATCCTAGCACTCAGGAGGCAGAGGCAGGCAGATCTCTGAGTTTGAGGCCGGCCCACTCTACAGAGTGAGTTCCAGGACAGCCAGGGCTACACTGACAAAAAACAAACAAACAAAAACACCGTCTTGAAAACCCAAAATAAAACCCTGTGTGGTGGCTTACATCTTTAATCCCAAGCAGAGGAAAGTAGATTTCTTCCAACTCAAGGCTGGCACAGACTACAGAGAAGTTCCATGACAGTCAGGGTAACAGAGAAACCCTGTCAAGGCTCCCCCACCCCCAAATACCCAAAACAAACAACAAAAAAAGAATGCACTCCTATGCTGAGTGGTGGCACACGCCTTTAATCTCAGCACCCAGCACTTGGGAGGCAGGGGCAGGTAGATCTTTGTGAGTTCCAGGACAGCCAAGGCTTAATAGAGAAAGCCTGTCTCCAAAAATCAAAAACAGCCGGGTGGTGGTGGAGCACGCCTTTAATCTCAGCACTCAGGAGGCAGAGGCAGGCGGATCTCTGTGAGTTCGAGGCTGGGCTGGACCAACAGCCTCCAAAACAATACAGAGAAACCCTGTCTCGGAAAAACAAAAACAAAAATCAAAAACAGACAGAAAGGTACTCTTGTTAATGCCAATACTAATAGGCTGAGACTGAAGAATTACTTTGAGTCAGTAGCAAGAGTGGGCTATATAACAAACTCTACAAACACACATATAAATACAAAAAAGAATGCCCACCAAACAAATCCAAATCAGACTCTTCCTCAATACATACATTGCCAACATAGATAGAACGGGCATCAGCCTCCATCTTCTCCTCAAGAGACATGATCACTGGGCCAGCTTGAAGGGAAAAAAAAATTTAGGCAAGTAATTTTCTACTGGATCAATACATATATATACCCCCACCACCTAAGATTTTGGTCTGTTCTATTATACTCATTACCTAGAACAGTGCCCAGCATAGTAGGTCAATATATATTTGAGAAACGAACCCCTCAAAAAAATTTAAGAATTTACATTTTCCAAATCAAGGTTCTATTGAACCGTTTTGGCTAAAATGACTCAGAGTGAACAAAACTGAATGGATTGAGTTCTGACATTTCTAGATTAAATAAGTCCCCGACAGACATCAGTACCCTCTAAGTCCTAACTAAAGGATCTCTAACTGAAAAGTATTAGGTTTGAAGGTCAAACACCAGCGGGCGATCTCCACAAGAAGGGTATGGACAGACTAAGAACAAAGACAAACACATTTATAAATGAGACAAAGGAAGACACAAGAGTGTCACCATCAGGACAGCTCATGTCTAACAAAGGTCAGTAGAACACACAATGGACTATGACCACAGCCCCTGCCCAGAATTACTCAGACAAGCAGCTTCAAGGTCCCGAGCCTCTAATGCCACACTGCCGGTCTCCCCCAACCCCCAATCAACCCGAAGACCCGGACGGTACAGGCAATAGCCGATTGATTCACTCACTCACCATTGCCTGGGGGTGGACTCATATTCATCTGCTTCTCTACCTCGTTTTGTAGCTCCTTTAGCTTCTCAGCCTCCTCCTCCATCTCCCTGACTCGGGCTTTGATCGCTTCTAGCTCCTACAATGAGTGAGAGGGCATGCGGAAGGTTAACCACGGCAGGGAGTGTGCCGTACATTTTGTCTGGGCCCGGCCACAGCTATTCGGCCATTTCCCTCGCCTCGTGCGGGGGTCGTAATTACGGGGGGAAAAAAAAAGACAGCACACACACACAAAAAGCCAAATCACCTTCTCTAGGGCCACCCTGGGCTCCCGCGAAGCCCCATCAGCCCGCTCACGAACGGCCCCGGCCCGCCATCAGCCACGTTATTCCCCGCCCAACCCCACCCCCCGCCTGCCTGCCTCCCGCCCGAGCTCTGGGCCTCGCATGACCCGGCCCGCTCGCTCGGCCTCCTTCCCTCACCGGGTCCTCAATGGCGCCGTCCCCGGGGTCGGCCTCGACCAGTCCCGGCTCTTCCTCCTCCTCCTGGCTGCCGGGGGCTCCCGAGCCGGGCCCAGGACCCGGAGCTCCGGGGGGGGCACGGGGCCGGGGCGGCTCCTCTTCGGGCTCGGGCTCCGGCAGCAGCTCTCCAGGCTCCAGCTCCTCAGACTCCAAGCCGTTCCCGTAGTCCCCTGCGCCCCCCGGGTCCCCCTCCCCGGCCTCCCCACCGGCCCCGGGCACAAGATGGCGCCGCCGCCCCGGCCCGGAGCCCCGACCGCCCGCAGCCCCCGCTGCTGCTGCCGCCGCCATCGCCGCTCAGACTGGGGCCCGCCGCTCGGCGATTGGAGAACTGTGCCGGTCACGCCGAGGATTCATTAGTCAGCCAGCCTGCCCGTCACCCCCAACTCGAATACTATTGGGGAATTCTACTTGGCAATCAAACAAGACCCCACCTCTAAGGCGGGCCACTGCGCCAAATTCTGTGATCCCGGTAGGTGAGAAATACTTGTCAATCAACACACCCCACCTCCTGTCGAGTCCTTAGGTAACAATACGCCAGCACTGTGACGACTTTCCGCTCGTCCTCCGCCCACGGGCGGGCCCACAACATGGAGGATGCTCCGCGATTGGCCCCTGGCTAGCGAGTGGAAAGGACCAATCTTCCAAACGCCTCACTGAAGGGGCCCATTCTCAGATGCCGATTGGCTTGTGAGATTCGACGTGCTGACACCCGTGGTGCGACAGGTGAACCTTGCTCCCAAAAGGGTTGCCAGGCTTAGAGCTAGGGAATTCCTGAGCCGGGCGTGATGGCGCACACCTCTAATCCCAGCACCCAGAGAGCAGAGGCAGGCGAATCTCTGTTAGCTCAAGGACAGCCTGGTTTAAATAAAATAAGAACCACCACCACCAATAACAAAAAACAGACAAAAAAAAAAAAAACGGTTGGGGGGCTACGTGACCCGCCAGGCCCTTAAGTGTGTAGGGGCGGGGAACTGTCCTGACACTACCGGCCGACCACCTAACAGATCACTGTTGGAAGACAGAGGACAGAAATGGGTCAGAGACTTCTGGAAACTTGTCTAGCAAAAGCACCGGTAGGTGGGATGCCCTCGAAAGTGGAGGTTAGGAGGGGGTGTACTTTTCCCAATTTAGTTACTGGCACCATCCAATAGGGTGACACAAACTACAGACCTCACTAATCCTCACCCAGACCTTCTAGTCCGGAGTTCGGGTTCTGCATAGATCTTCTTTCTAGACCTTCAACCTGTTTAGTTTCAGCCCGTTTGTTTTCTTGCCTAGACAGTTTCAGTACCCTCTTTTTCTAACTTGGTGATGAGACAAGGGGCCAAGCGCTGTTTATATTTGTATCCATAAGTGACGATACACTTAGAGCACACCTTGTGTGATTATTGGCTGACTGCAACTTCCAGGTCCCACCTTTCATCTGCAGTTTCCTAGCTTTCAAACCCTTGAAGACCCCAAAGGAATTTCTCCAAGCAGGTTCTCAAGACAGTTCTGCACCTTTAAATATCCATGAGAGCTGGTCAAGGCAGGAGGATTCCCACACTATAGTAGAGATCCCACGAATTTAAAAGTAGTAAAGAACAGTAGTACTAAATCTGCAGGAGGACTTTTTGTAGAGACTAAAGTACAAAAGTTTGAGACAAACACAACCAAAAAAGTGAACATGGCTGGAGCGGGAGGCTTGGGCAAACCAGAGTCAGAAGGACCACTCATTATACCCCACTGTCCCCCCACTTCTTGCAATTCCTTACCTCGGGAGATTGAGAGCTGGGAGTAGAGTAAAACTTTTGCTGCGGATTCATCATAAGAACTAAAGTTGATCACTGAAGATGAAACACTTCAGAAGAAAGTTCTGTTTATGTTGATTCTAACCAATTCAAAATTTTAAGAGTTTGCTGGCACCCGATTTAACCAAGGCAACCAACAGAAACGTGATTGCTGGATACCTTTCTGTTGTGGTTTTGAGATAGCGTCTCTCTACTTAACTCTGGCTGGTCTGAAGCTCAATATATAGCCCAGGCTGGCCTTAATCACAGAGATCCGACCGCCTCTGCCTCCCAAGTGCTGGGATTAAAGGTGTGTGCCACCATGCTCATCCAGTAGATACTTTTAATTCTACCTTTGGCAAGCCCAAAGCACTGTTTTTTTGTTTTTTGTTTTTTTTTGGTATTTCGAGACAGGGTTTCTCTGTGGCTTTGGAGGCTGTCCTGGAACTTGCTTGGTAGTTCAGGCTGGTCTCGAACTCACAGAGATCCGCCTGCCTCTGCCTCCCGAGTGCTGGGATTAAAGGTGTGCACCACCAACGCCCAGCCTTGTTTTGTATTTCAAGACAGGGCTCTCTCTCTTCTCTCTCTCTCTCTCTCTCTCTCTCTCTCTCTCTCTCTCTCTCTCTCTCTCTCTCTCTCTCTCTCTCTCTCTCTCTCTCTCTCTCTCTCTCTCTCTCTCTCTCTCTCTCTCTCTCTCCTCTCTCTCTCCCCTCTCCCCTCTCCCCTCTCTCCTCTCTCTCTCTGTAGCTCAGTCTGGCCTCAAACTTGAGATCCTCCTCCCTCAGCCTCCTGAGGTTATGATTTTCTCAGCACTGTACACATCTGTAATCTTAGCACTTGGGAAGTTGAAGCAGGAGGACTCCCATGAGTTCCACGCCAGTCTGAACTGTATAGAGAGCATCAGAGTGAGTAGCTAGAGCTATACTGCAATAACCTGTCTCAAAAACAAAACAAAAAACACAAGAGTACTTGATCCTCTTACAGAGGACGTGAGTTCAGTTCCCAACACCCACATGGTCATGACCGCCTGTAACTACGGCTCTACTGAATTCAACATTTGGCCACCACAGGCACCCACACACATGCAATACTCTCTCTCCCATACACATATACATCAAAAAATTTTAAATCTTTGAAAACAAAATACCTACAGAACCATACTCTTGATGACATATCCCTGAATTCCTAGCACTTGGGAAGTAGAGCTGAAGGATTAGGAGTTTAAGACCAGCCTCAACTATATAGGAAAGTTGAGCTCAGCCTGTGCTACATGAGACCCTGTCCCTCCCCCAAAAAAGGGTCCCTACGTTATCTGTTTTAACACATAAGATACATTAAGTATTATACTGAAAACTATAATTCTGGAAAGAGACAAAAATGTAAGTAAACTATAATATCCAACAAGAATTTTTTTGTTTTGGTCTTTTTCCAAGTCAGCGTTTCTCTGTGTAACAGCCCTGGCTACCAGCTGGCTTCGAACTACAGAGATCCGCCTGCCTCTGCCTCCCGAGTGCTAGGACTAAAGGAATGCACCACCACCACCCGCTGCTCTTAAGTTTTCAGTGGGTTCCTAGAAAATTGTAAAACTGTGACTTGCATTATATTTCACTGGACAGAGCTGACTTAAGACTTGGAACCTTATGGCATTTTTAAAAGATTTATGTCTATGTGTATGTATGTGTACTGTGTGAATTTATGTTTAACACTTGTATGTAGGTGCTCCTAGAAACCAGAAGGTATCAGATTCCCTGTTAACTGCAAGTATAGGTAGCTGTGAGCTGAGCTGTGATGGGGAGATGTGAACCCAGGTCCTTTGCAAGAGCAGTAAGTACTTTGTTTTGTTGTTTTTGAGACGGGTTTCTCTATATTGCTTGGAGTCTGTCCTGGCACTCACTCTGTAGATCCACCTGCTTCTGCTTCCCCAGCGCTGGGATTAAAGGCATGCACCACCATCGCCTGACTCAGTAAGCACTCTTAATTGCTGAGCTGTCGTCCAGCCCCTCATCCCTATTTTACAGAGATTCTGGTATCATCTAATGTGGTCTGGCCTTACTTGTGTTAACATCTCAGATCAGACCTTACAGAGCCGTTTGAATGAGAAAAGGCTGCTGCCAGGCTGCTGAACTTCAGTTTTTGCTTTTGTTTTTCTAGACAGAATTCCTCTGTGTAGCCCTGGCTGTCCTGGCACTTGCTCTGTAGACCAGACTGGCCTGGAACTGAGATTTTGGGATTAAAGGTGTGAGCCAGCACTACACAGCAGCTAATTTCAGTTTTAGTTGGATAACTTTTTCTTTCTTTCTTTTTTTTTTTTTTGTTTTTTTTTTGTTTTTGTTTTTGTTTTTCTAGACAGGGTTTCTCTGTGGTTTTGGAGGCTGTCCTGGAACTTGCTCTTGTAGACCAGGCTGGTCTCGAACTCACAGAGATCCACCTGCCTCTGCCTCCTGAGTGCTGGGATTAAAGGGGTGCGCCACCAACGCCCAGCCATGGCTGGATAACTTTTACAACATTTTATTTATGTGTGCATCTGTGTGTTCTGGTGCCCTTAGAAACCAGAGGGTGGCTAATCTCCTGGAGCTGAAGTCACAGGTGGCTGTGAACTACTTGACACAGATCCTGGGATCTGATCTCTGCTCCCCACAATGGAGCAGCAAGTGCTCTTACCCAGTACGCCATCTCTCTAGCATCGCTGACTGGCTGACTTTATTATTTATTTCTACATTTATTTATTTGAGGTGGGGAACACACACGTCTTGGCACTTGTGTGGACTCAGTACAGCTTTTCTACCATGTGAGACTGAACTCAGGTTTCCAGACATGGTGGCAGGCATTATTATCCACTTAGTCACCTCACCAGCCCACTGAGTAAATTTTTGATAAAGGATCTGCCCATGTAGCCCTGGCTGGCTTAGAACTCACATGTAGACAGGCTGGCCCCCAGCTTCTGGTGATGCTCCCACCCCTGGAATACTGAGATTGCAAGTATCTATGCCCTTCACTGGGCTTGATTGGTTAGCTTTTTTAAAACTTTATATCTGATAAACTTGCTGTAAGGTGCTGTATCAGATGTTTACATTTATTACTCCCCAAGATCAGAAAATACTGATAGCAGAAAAAACAAAATCTACCCACTAGACAAAACTACAAATGGTATCTTGACCTACTCTTGTTGAAGTCTTTATTTAAATAGGAAAATACACACCCACTCAGTGTGATCTTTCACACTTAAGAAACACTATTTTCATGAATGAGTTATACAGGAAAATACAGAAATTTTTTTCCATGCTAATAAATATATATTTTCAATTATACCATTCATGGTTTTACTTGTCACCTTGGGCATGAGGGTTTTCTTGACCATTTGATTTAAAATCAGAATATCTGCATATTCCCAACTTTGCTTTTCTTTACTTAAAATAATATTTCTAGACAGGTCTCACATGTAGGCCAGGCTAGCATTGAACTTTTAGAGATCTGCTTGCCACTGCCTCCTTAGTGCCAGGATGTAGGTGTGTGCTACCACCCCACCACACATCTTTCTTCATAGTATTTACTATGTTCTAACATGTTAAGAAATTTATTTAGTTTGTGTTTGATTCCCTTACTTGTATGTAAGCAACATGTGGGCTGAGGTGTCTGTTCATTCTCTTTGCCTGCATGCCTAGAGCTCTGCTAAATACACAGAAAATACTTGAACCTTTTCTCTAAGAGTAAATAATGAATGAGAAACATCCATACAGTTCATTATGTTTTCTGCTCAAATTTTCTGTTGTCTGTGTGTGTTTACTGGTCCTGAACTACCAATCCTCCTGCCTCACCTGCCAAATGCTGAGACTAGAAACTGGCAGCACCACACCTAGCTTCTGGCTATGTTTTCATTATTATATAGTTCCCCATAACCACATCTAAAGAATTCAGCCAGACCTGATGGCACACGCCTTTGACCTCAGTGCTCGGGAGGCAGAGTCAGGCGGATCTCAGTGAGTGAGTGTGAGGCCAGCCTGGTCTGTGAGTTCCAGGACAGCTAGGACTGTTACACAGAGAAATCCTGTCTTAAGAAAACCTTAAAAAAAAAATTCAGGCTTTAATCCTGGCACTTGGATCTCTTTGAGTTCAAGGCCAGTACAGAGAGTTCCAAGACAGCCGAGAAATCCTATAAACAACAGCTATAATCTACCCATTTGTCAGGAACTTAGTTTTGTTCTTTCCGCTGACAGTGAGTCTTCTCTTACAGCATGGGATGGCTTGAAGATGTGTAGTCCCAGGCGGACCTACACTGGAGGTGCTTGCACCTGAGGTACACCAGAATTACAGCCTGAGCCAGAACCAACCCAACCCAACCCCCCTACCCTCTCAGTGGTCAGAAATTATAACTTTGCCCAACTTTGCTAAAAGTGCCACTGGGATGAGTGGCACTTATAAACAGTCACCTGTCCCTTTGGATGGTCTAAAGTTTAGCAATCAGACCATTATAAAGTAACATATTTGGACTAAATTGTAATGAGGCTGATAGAGCAACCTAAGACCTTCTGGATCCTCACTTGTTTTTTGTTTTTGTTTATTTATTTAATGTGCATAGTGTTCTGTCTACATCTATGCCTGCAGGTCAGAAGAAGGTACCAGATCTCATTACAAATGGTTGTGAGCCACCATGTGGTTGTTGGGAATTGAACTCAGGACCTTTGGAAGAACAGCTGGTGCTCTTAACCTCTGAGCCATCTCTCCAGGCCCCCACTTGGTATTTCTAAAAGAACAGGGATATAAAATATTCTATTTGCCATCATTTATGTCACTAAGCATCTTTTCAGATAAAGCTTTGACTCTTGTTTTCCAGATTGCTTTGGTTGCCAAGAAACTCACAGTTGAGTTCACAGCCTAGCTTCTCTCTCTCTCTCTCTCTCTCTCTCTCTCTCTCTCTCTCTCTCTCTCTCTCTGGTTTTTCAAGACAGAGTTTCTCTGTGTAGCCTTGGCTGTCCTGGAACTCATTCTGTAGGCTGGCCTCAGCCTAGCATTTGTATTTGAAAATATCACTTAAAAGAATGACCTCCATTCATTAATTATCCTTTTGCTTTCTGATGATTTGCTGAGAGACCAAGGTCTCATGAAGTCTTGGCTGGCCTTGAACTCACTATGTACCTGGGTGGCCAACCGTCCTGTCTCCACCTCTTACCAATAGATTGCAGTTGTTGGCCACCACACCACGCCAGGATATTGGGGAGGGTGGTGGTGTGTGTATGGAGGTTCCCAATGTACCTTGAGGCTCCAGTTGGTACAGAGTTCTTAGGCTTGGGTGTTGGCCAGGATGGGGTATTGTGATTTTTTTTTAAACCTTAATACTTCCCCAAATTCCTGTAACTAATTATTTCCTTAGCATCATGGTTATGAGAAATGACTGGTTTAAGGAATGTTCTAAAACCCAGGCTGTACAGTGTAGAAGTCACAAAACCCTGCTCAGTACTTCTCATTAAATTTCTGGGCTTTATTTATTTATTTATTTTTAATACGACCATTACATATTACACAAAAATAAAAGTCAAATGAACTTGGCATTTATAAATTATTAAATAAAAATACAGGAATATATATTTATATTTATAGAGCTTTTTCTCTTCTTCTAAACTAACCAAATCTGTTCTCCTGCCGTTTATGATTTAAAAAAGTAAAATAGTATATGTATGCCCTAGTGTAAGTGGGGAGTGGATTAATAATTGCAGGACTGAGTTACCCCACTTCAGCTCTTTCCTTGGCCTATAAGCAAAGTCCCTATTTGTCCCTTTGGGCTTTGGAGAGCAAGAACATCCTCTCCATCTATTTAGTCTTTGAAAATTATATCCATTTCCCTCATTAAAAAAAATGAAATGGATTTAAAAATTGGGAGCCATACTCAGCCCTCTTGGCCAAGAGCTAATCCAAAGGAACTATATGGCTCTAAAGACAGTCCCTGGTTTTCCCTGACAGGAGACTCTCTGGGTTTCCACTGGCCCTTAAATGAAGGGCAGCACAGGTCACAGCTCCCCACTGTGGTCCCATCTCAGCTAAGCTTCTGGGAATCCAGACCATTACCCTCTCATAACACAGCTTCTCCGTCCACCCTGTGTGAAGACTGGAGGGCAGGGCTTGTTGGTAACCTGACCATGGTTCCCGCTGTTCCTGTTTGCTAAAGGCCTCCAGGAATGCTAACTTGGGTAGGTGTCCTGTGGGAAGGGTAGAACAGTCTTCCCTGAACGTGGAGGAGTACAGGCCCCAGCTGGAGCTGATGGTCTAGTCAGTGGCTTTTTAACTTTGCAACAGCAGAGCTCTTACCACAAATAAAATTTTACCCTGAACCCCGATACATAAGACAGCAACAAAGGGAGCTGTTCTGTCTGAGGGCAAATCGCCAAGCCCGTGCAGCCCTCCACTCCCTCATTTCCTTAAGGACTCCTGAGGCAACCCTTAGAACACGTCAGGGCTCTGCCAAGCAGTTTGAAAACCACTGGCCTAGTTTGTCCTGAGCAAGTCAGAGCCTCCGGCTCCAACTGCTTGCTACAGATAGCTCTGAGTTTCTTAGATGAGCCCATGTGAGACAGACCCACTGGCACATGCAGTCTACAACACTCCCCTCAGACACTATGACAAAGTGCAGCCCTCTCCAAAGCAAAAGTCTGGATAAACACCTGAGGCCAATTTGGTCCCACATTTTAGCAAGCACAATATGATGCCACATTCTGGACCAAGTGAAAAGTAGTCGAGTCAGTTGTGGTCTAGCTAAGCTGATCAGTGCTCAGGATTGCAGGTCGGGTTCTAGAGCACTGGGAAGGAAGTCAGCATTGAAGAGCAGCATCGTTAGCACCTTGGCAAGTGCAGCAGTGAGGTCTGGCTCAGGGCATGCATTTGGAGTGAATAATTTCTCCCTCAAAAGAAGAAGCTATAGTCTCGATTTGTTCTAGAGGACCGGACTGTGAGTTCTAGTGATAGCATCTTCGGAGACTCTGTATTGACAATACCCATGCAAAGAGCAGGGCTTCAAAAGAAACAAGTGTTTAGGTCATGGTAGGTGCTCTAGAACCCATAGACCTGGCCCCAGATAAAGCAGCACCAAAACCTACCACACAGAATAAGCCTGTCAAGGAGCATCTGTCACCATCACCAGCTCAGAGCTGGAATGGTCCTCTCAAAGCATTGCAGTCTCAGAGACCGTTCAGGACCCAAACTGAATTCTAGATCAGCATTTATGTCCACATCCTCTAAAGGAAAATAGAGCCCCAATTTAGAGTCTCTGCTGGGTAGAGAGGTCCTAGAAGTAGGCAACACTTTAGGCACCATTGTGCCCCTGGTGGAGGGGAAGGTGGCAGGCAGGTCCAACTACCGAAGCTCCTACCCACGCAGGCTCCACAGCCTGACCCTCTGTCGGCCCAGGTGCAAACATGCACACGAAAAGGGGGCGTTGAAGAGCGCAGCCAGATGCAGAGCTTTTGTCTGCAAAGCCCTGCCAACAACTTCGAGCAGCGCCAGAGCCCTCATCTAGATATGGTATTCCTCCCTCAGCCTGAGGTCAAGGGTAGGGACGGAGGGGGGAAGGGCAGTGAACTGGCCTATGTTCTTGCCACTGCAAGAAGGAATGTTTTCTCTAAATATCCCATCACCAGATTCGACAAACAGCCCAGCATGCACGTGAGCATTCGTGCAACATGTACACAAGTGCCCGTGCAGCCCACAGCCACAGCCATTTCATCCAGTCACCTAATCACCAAGCTTCCATTCCAAAGGGAGGTGAATTCTAGGGTCCCTACACCCATCCGTCTAACGGTGACACAATCCTTTAAATAGGCTCACCTTCCTTGGAGCCTGTATGCCCATGCTATGGGCATGATGCCTCCCCCCCCCCCCAAGCTCAAGATGACTCCATCTCCTGGGCTCCTGGCCTTGAAACATTCCTTAATGTTTCTCCTTGCCCCCTGCCTGTCATGCTTGACTCCCTCACACACGACCTTCCCCTGGCCTTCTCTTCCATGACCATCCAATTTCTTCCAAGGGCATTCTCTGTTCTCTTCCAGCTCTCCTGGCCCCTAGCCACACCTAGCCCCACCTGGCCCTAGACTTCCTCACTTGCTAGCAAAAAAAGGCCCCTACAGTTACCAGGGCCCCCAGTGCCACGGCCCCCGTCAGCACTGTCCTCACTGAGGCCCAGTTCCCCTCCCGCAGACGCCGCGCCTCCTCCAGGGCCCCGTCCCCGTACAGAGCTGTGAACTCCGCCTGTGGGAGAGAAGGGAAGTAGAGAAAGAAGGAGAAAGGGACATCAGGACAGGAGAGTGGAGAGAAGAGGGGAGGGAGAGTTCCAGTCCCATCCACCGTGAGCACTGCCCACACCCAGCCTCTAGCCCAGGCTCTACTGCCGACAAACCCTCAGAACCCCAACCCCTGCCCAGGGTCCCTGGCTCCCGTGCACTGTCTGCATCAAGTGAGCCCCATCCCTGCCTTGGCAAACAAAACAAAACAAAACAAAACAAAACAAAAAACTGCTCAGAACTGGTATCCTTCGCTAAGGCTTGTCTAACCACAACCCATCCTCAGGGTCACCCCTTTCTCTGAAGGCTCTCTTCGGGTACTGTCTATAAAACTCTGTATCCATCTTCTGCTTGGGGCCATGAAACCCACCCAGTGATTACTGCCTGGCAGCCCTGGGGTACAGTTAGCTTGCCGCTTTCAGTCTGATTCACTTAAACAGGGGAACTCAGCCGCAATGGCTCCTTCCCAGCACAGTGGCCCCTTTCCCATGAAGACCAGCTTTGCAGAGGGATGTGTAGGGCAGCACCCGAGAAGCTTCTTACCCAGCCGCCACTGCTGTGGATCCAGTCAGCCAGGCGTGTCTCCAGGTAAGTCACCATCCAATCCTGCACTTGTCCCACAAGTGGCTCCATTTCTTTGTTGACACTTTCAGCACATAGGGCGGCCCCAAAGACAAAGAATGCCACAAGACGGCCCCAATTGGGGCCCCCTTGGAAAAGTTCGTCGGAAACCTGGGTGAAGCGTTGCTGGGCTGAGCCTGGGGTCACGTGGAGCTGAGCAGCCAGGTCGGAGAAGGTGCGCCGGAAGCGGGTCTCAAACTCGTCTCCAGCAGCCCGCATGGCTTGGTGCAGCGGGTCGGCTGCTGGGCCCTCCCCAGGGCCAGCTCCACAGACATAGCCCTTCTGCCTCAGCTTATAGCCTACAAAGTCAGCCACTAGAGCCCGTGTGTCTGGGGCTGAGGCTGGGGTCGCCATCCGGGCGGCTAAAAGGGGCAAGGATGACAGGCTGATATAAATATTTAGAAAATACTGACAGACCCCCGAAGGGACATTTCCTGTTTGGCCAAGCTCCTGAGATAGGTGAAATGCTCAGAGACCACTAGGGCAGGGTCAAGCGAGCAAAAAGATTTAAGTCATGGGGTGGGTTCAGGGCATAAGCAGCTGGCCACGTACAACATGTCAAATTAGTGTGCAACAGGACATTTTAATTTTAGACTACTTCAGAGTCCTTCCATACGACGCCAGCTGTATAACACCTCTGCACCCCCAACCCCAACCCCCCAATACACACCTTTTTGGCTACAGGAGGCGGCTTAGGACCTCCCCAGGAGCATGACATGAAGATGTTGGCAGAGGCACAGGGAGGGAGGAGACAGGTAGGTAACGCAAGGACTGGATGGGGCAGAAGGAAGGGGACACTTACCCAGCCTGGATGGCAGCTCTTAGGACCCAGTGCTGGTGGCAGGGAGCTCCCAGCTGAGGCCTTTCATCCTCCCGGCCAGAGTGGAGCCCTGGAAACGGGAAGGAGAGAGCAGAACTAGGTGAAAAGGGCCAGGGGCCTGGATCTGGCCCGGAAAGGGCTGGAATTGCAGCTCCTGGAACTGGGCCCCTGCCTCCAACGCTCTGCCAGCTGTGTGGCCGATTCCATGTTTAATGACTGCCCTCTCGGGAAACCCGGGGACACGGGCTTCCTGCCGACACCATCTCCACTCCGGGTTCCCCTAAGTGCAGCCCAAAGGCCGGGCTCCTCCCTTTCTCCCACCCTTAGCTGGTCTCCAACCCCGCCCGCCAGCCAGGTTAGGGAATCTCACGGGTCAGGCCGCAGCCGGGATCCGGATCCGGTTGTTTCCTGGTGGAGGAGCTAGGAGGGAGGGAGAGAGGGAGGAAGGGAAGGGAGGAGGGAGGGAGGGAGGGGGGCCGGGAGGGAGGGCCCGGCGCCGGGTGATGATGGGACCCAGAGATGCGTCCAGAGAGAGGGGCGGGGCTGGGAGGCAGGGCTAGGAAGGGCCACAACTCCTGGAAGAGAGGGCCATTGAAAGGCTGTGCAGAGGCTTAGCTGTCCTGTGCTGCCTGCTTACTGAGCCCGCAGCGTATCCAGAAAAACACACCGGCCCTCAACATCTTGGTGCAAATTCAACATTTCCGGAAGGTTTCTCCTATTCATGCACTTGTTGAACTTCCAAGCTTTGGATTGTGTGCCTGGGAAAACAAGAACGGTTCCCATTGGCCTGGGAACAGAACCTTGCCCTTGTGGGACTACTAGGGACACTAAACGCACTCAGGATCTTTAATCCAGTGGGCTTCTCCTGGAGTGGAGTTTCAGTTAGGCATCAGGGTGTGAGACCTTGGATTGTAGTGTCCACAAGTCCTCTTCATCTTTTGTAATCAGATTGATTTTCATTAATTGTTTATCCATCCCATGAATTGATTCTCATTATTTTAAAAGGTCAAATAATAAAAGGCACAAATGGATACAAGCTTACTAATCTTACACACTCTTCCTAAATGCAGGTTGCCAATGTTAAGCTTAATGTCTGGGTTTTTTGTTGTTTTTTAAGACAGGGTTTCTCTGTGTAACTTTGGAACCTGTCCTGGACTCGCTCTGTAGACCAGGCTGACCTCGAACTCACAGAAATCCACCTATCTCTGCCTCCCGAGTGCTGGGATTAAAGGCATGTGCACCACTGCCTGGCTCAGTTAGTTGTATAGATTACATGTATCTATAACTTATACATGAATATATATGTATACTTATATTTTTAGAGACAGGGTTTCTTCTCTGTGCAGCCCTGGCTGTCCTGGAACTCCCTTTATAGGACAGGCTGGCGTTGAATTCACAGAGATCCACTTGCCTCTGCCTCAGGTCTGCTAGGATGAAAGGTGTGAGCCTCTCCCAGCTTGTGGGAGGCAGAGGCAGGTGGGTCTCTGTGAGCTCTACAACCGCTCCACAGGAGGTACTCACCAGGGTGCTGATCCTTCACCTCTCTCCCACCCTGGACTCTTGAAGCAGGCCACTTCTTCAGTGGTTTTCAACTGTGGCCAAGACCAGAAAGAGACAAGCCACCGATGCCTCTCTGCTTCAGTTCTTTCTTGAAGCTTCCCTTTGCTTCTCCCACTAACTCCCGTTTGTCCGCTCACCAGAGAACACTCAGCGATGATGCTAACAACACGTTGTGGGAATTTATTGCTCCCTACCCCCTGCGTGTTCTTTATAGGTGAGTCTGACCCTGAACTCACAGAGATCCGCCTGCCTCTGCCTCCCGAGTGCTGGGATTAAAGGCGTGCGCCACCACCGCCCGGCCCCTTCGTGTTCTTTATAGGTGAGTCTGACCCTGAACTCAGTCTGTCTACGCCAGCTTTCTGGATTGGTGGCATTGCAGGTGAGCCACAGTACTTTCTTTACATGCGTGATTTTTCTTCCCACATCATTCCTTAGGTTGCTTAACCCTTATTCCATGAAAAAGGAAAGTGAGGCTTGGAACGGTTGTCATTTGCCCAAATCCACACACCAAGGAGAAAAGTTAGGACTCAAATCTAAATTAGTCTGACCCGTAAGATTGAACTCTGACAGTGTATTGTCTCAAGATGAGCTCTGCATGCCTTTGGCGGTCAGTGCAGTGGTAACCCACAGCACTTCTGAGCTCCTCCTTCGTTCTCCGACTTGAACATCCAGCCTGTTCCACTCTCAGTTCCACCCTTTGGCTCGCCCATCCCTTCTTTGCTCTTAGGCTGCTCATTCCAGGGGCCACCAGCATACACCCCACTTATTTTCACACAGATCTAGTTTAAGGCGTTCATTTACAATGTGGAGTATTCTAAGACATTTACCTGAAATAAATATACTTTAGGGTTGTTCTGCAGTGGGGTCTCCTGTAATCCAGGCTGGTCTTGAACTCACTGTGTGGATGAAGATGACCCAGATGAGCCTTCTATCTGCACGTCTTGATTAATTCAGGCATTATAGGAGTGCACCTGATTTTTTATTACTGATCTTAAGAGACCCTAATATATTTCTGTCTGACTTTTTATTTTTAAGTTCTTTGTCCAGGGTTGTGGTTTATTCAAATATGTGTCTTCATGTTTAAAAAAGCCAACAGCAAATGCTGACTAAATGAATCAATTTTGACTCCTCTGGCCAATCTCAGAGCAGTTCCTGTCAGGTGTTTAAAGATTATTGCACTTGCTGTTCAAGAAATAGAGACTAATTAGGGACAAAGACTCAAGGCCAGTGTGAGACTCAGGACTTCATCATCAGACTTATATCTATAGAAGCTATATTCCTCAAGGACCTTCGCAGCCCCACACTACAAAGCCAAAGCAGGACAGTGCAAGCAGTAAACAAGGCAACAGACCCTTTGCCAAAACTCCAGGCTGTAAACTCTCCAGGAATCACCTTGGTTTAACTTTGGTGACACGTTAATTCTACAGAGCAAGGAGCAAGGAGGATACTTTTTTTTTTTTTTTGGTTTTTCGAGACAGGGTTTCTTTGTAGCTTTGGAAGCTGTCCTGGAACTCACTTTGTAGACCAGGCTGGCCTCAAACTCACAGAGATCCACCTGCCTCTGCCTCCCGAGTGCTGGGATTAAAGGCGTGTGCCACGAACGCCCGGCTGGAACTAGCTCTTGTAGACCAGGCTTGTCTCGAAATCAGAGATCTGCCTGCCTCTGCCTCCTGAGTGCCTGGGATTAAAGGCATGTGCCACCAAGGAGGATCCCATTAAACTGCCTGACAATAACGTTTATTAGTGTACAATATTCATGCATTTTATGTGTGAAATAAGAAACAAAACTCAATATGGTTTTTAAAACAAGTCCTAGCTATTATTGCTATGTTTAATGCTGCTGTGAAAACACGCACAGGGATGAACTGTATAAGATAGCGTAAGTCTTGTTTATTTCCACTTGAGTTGCTTGTGGTTTTGCTAAACCATCCTGCTATAGACTTCAATTAGCTCAGTGGTAGAGTATTTGCCCAACATGCATGAAGCCCTGGGTTCAAACCCTAGCACCACAAATCTATACATTAATTTAGAAATTTAATTTTTACTCATATTTTCTTTCTTTCTTTTTTTGAGACAGTGTCTGTCTACATATCATGGCGGTCCTGGAACTCACTAAGTAGACCAGGCTAACCTTGAACTCACAGATCTATTTGCCTCTGCCTCCTGAGTGCTGGGATTAAAGGCATACACATACACATCACTATTCCTGGCCTCTTCTATTATTTATTTAGTTCTTTCTTTCCTTTCTTCTTTCCTTTCTTCCTCCCTTGGGACAAGAGTTCTCTGTGTAACAGCCCTGTCTGTCCAGGAACTCACTTTGTAGACCTAGCTGGTCTCAAAATCACATAGATCTTTCTGCCTCTGCCTCTTTAGTGTTGGAATTAAAGGTGTGTGCTACCACACATGGCTTTATTTTGGGTTTTTAATTTTATTTTTTGAAATTTTATAAATTTTTTTCACGTTATTCCCAGCTTTGTCCCCTCCTCCCTAGCCCCTCCACCAAACCCCCCATTCTCATCCCATCCTCCCTCCGCTCCCCAGGGAGGGTAAGGCCTTCCATGGGGAATTTTCAAAGTCTGTCATGTCATCCCAGGCAGGGCCTAGGCCCTCCCCCATGTGTCCAGGATGAGAGAGCATCCCTCCATGTGGAATGGGTTCCCAAAGATCATTTGTATGCCAGTGATAAATACTGATTTACTATCCGAAGTCCCATAGATTGCCCAGGCCTCCTCACTGACCGCCAGGTTCAGGGGGTCTGGATCAGTCCCATGTTGGCCTCTCAGTCACCAGTCTGGGGTCCATGAGCCCCCCTTGTTCAGGTCAGCTGCCTATGGGTTTCCTTTGCTCGTCATTCCTCCAGTTCAGTTCAGTGTTTAGCTGTGAGTGTCTGCTCTGCTTCCATAAACCACTGGATGAGGGTTCTGAAGCAGACAGGCCGGTGTCTATTTTGGGTTTTTAAGATAGGGTTTCTCAGTGTAGCCCTGGCTGTCCTGGAACTCATTCTGTAGACCAGGTTGGCCTCAAACTTATGAGATCCGCCTGCTTCTGCCTCCTGAGTGCTGAGATTAAAGGTGTGAGTCACCATGCCCAGCCCATTTCATTTAAAAAACACATATTTTTAATTTTAATTATGTGGCTGTTTGTGTCCATGTAGGGGCTCTGCTTATGTGAGTGCAGGTGGCCGTGGAGGCCAGAAGGGGGCAGCAGATCCCGTGGAGCAGTGCATGGTCTTAACACTGAGCCAATTTTCCAGCCACACAACTTCCACTTTTATTTTAGAAGTTAACGATATCATTTAATGGAGATACTAGTATCATCATCAACTGTTTTAGTGTATAACTAAATGATGAGGAGAATGAACTCTAGAGTTTAGCTGCTGAGGTCCAAATCCTAGCTGCGCGATTAGTAACTCTGTGACACTGGGCAAGGATATTTCCCCTCCCTCCCATCTCCCAATTAAATACTGTAATAATGCCGAGTGTCTTTACTGTAAAACTCTGTGGAGAGCAGGAGAGGTGGGTCGGCAGTTACGAGCACACACCGCTCTTCTAGAGGACCCGAGTGGATTCTCAGGGCCCCCTTCTGGCAGCTCACATCCACCCGTGACCCAAGCTCCACGGCGTCGTCTGGGCCCTGTGGCGCCTGCACTCCTGTATACACAGAGCCCGACACCATACTCATAATTTAAAAAATGAAACAAACCTCTGAAAAAGATCAGTAGATAAGTTAGAACACATTTTATATATCAGTGTAAAATTGTCACTAGTTTATTTTTCAAAAATGAAACTGGAAAATCGGCAGTCCTGTGTCCACCGCTCATCCTCTGGCGTTCTCCACTCGCAAGACTTAAGCTAGGATTCGCGGCCTTTCTTTCATCGCTAAGCCCATCATCACCTCTATCCCAAACCTGTAGCCTGGGTTTAAGAAAACACTGAGGTCTGGAGAGTTAACCCCTCGGCATTTTGAACTTTCCGTGCAAGGAAATGAAAGATTATCGCCCCCCCCGCTTTAACCCTTCTCATGCTGGAGTTACTCATTTGGGACCCCGAGGGTGGAGTCAGTCCCGCCCCCTGGTGCGGCAGTGAAGATAGATACCGAGCCACCTGTCAGAGGGCTGTGGGCGGGGGCCGGGTCAGCGAGGCCCGCACAACCGGAGGGAGAGCGCCGTTGAGCGCACGCTCAGAGCAGACGGCTGGAAGCAGGCAGGACGGACAGTCTAGGAAGACAGTGGGGTTGACCGCCAAAGGGAGGGAGGGGTGGTCAAGGGAAGCCGCCAGGCCAAGCACGCGAGGTGACAGCAGCGGCCCTCCACCGTATGCGCGGACGCAGAGCAGGCGGTCGAGTGAGGACGCGCCGGGCACCGCGCGCTGGCCCCGCCGGGGCACAGGGGTGCCATGTCCCGCGAGCGGCCTCCGCGCACCGACATCCCCCGCAACCTGAGCTTTATAGCGGCGCTGACCGAACGTGCCTACTACCGCAGCCAGCGGCCCAGCCTCGAGGAGGAGCCGGAGGAGGAGCCGGGGGAGGGCGGGACCCGGCCCGGTGCCCGCTCGCGGGCTCACGTTCCGGGCCGGGGGCGCAGGGCCCGCTCCGCGCCCGCAGGTGGCGGCGGGGCGCGGGCAGCCCGCAGCCGCAGCCCTGACACTCGCAAGAGAGTGCGTTTCGCTGACGCGCTGGGGCTGGAGCTGGTCGTGGTCCGCCGCTTCCGCCCGGGGGAACCGCCCCGGGTGCCCCGCCACGTGCAGGTGCAACTGCAGAGGGACGCCCTGCGCCACTTCGCGCCGTGCCCGCCGCGCGCCCGCGGCCTCCAGGTAGGCGCCCCGCCGTGCCCCGTCCCCGGGACCTCGGCCTTCGCGCTCCGAGCCCTACTCTGACCTGCCTCCTTCCCCTCTCTCCTCAGGAGGCGCGCGTGGCCCTGGAGCCCGCCCTGGAGCCCGGCTTCGCCGCCCGCCTGCAGGCGCAGCGCATCTGCCTGGAGCGCGCCGACGCGGGCCCTCTGGGCGTGGCCGGGAGCGCGCGCGTGCTGGACCTGGCCTACGAGAAGCGCGTGAGCGTGCGCTGGAGCGCGGACGGCTGGCGCAGCCTGCGGGAGTCGCCTGCCGCCTACGCCGGCCCTGCCCCGGCCCCACCGCGGGCTGACCGCTTCTCCTTCCGCCTGCCCGCGCCTCCGGTCGGCGGCGCTCTGCTCTTCGCCCTGCGCTACCGTGTGACCGGCCGCGAGTTCTGGGACAACAACGGCGGCCGTGACTACGCGCTGCTTGGGCCCGAGCACCCTGGCGGTGCCGGAGCCGCGGAGCCCCAGGGCTGGATCCATTTTATTTGAACTAGGCTCCTGCCGGCCGCAGCAGGGACAAAACAGTGGCACCCAGGCGTGGCGGGGAGACTTTGGCTCCAGGAACCGGGGAATCACAATTGGTAGATGGGTGGAGAGCGGTCCCTGAGAGTCAAGCCGAGGTGGCTGGAAACCGTCTGTGAAACTCAGATTGGGGTGGAAAACGGCAGGTGGGTGTAAGCGGAAGGAACTCAAGGAATTCGAGATAAGAGGTCCAGACGCGGAAGTTAAGCCTCCTTAGGTTAGGAAGCTCAGATTGCTTCCCTCTTACTGGCCTTACCACCTCAGGTCCCCATGCCCTGCCCACCCTAGCTTTATCTGAGCCGAAATTGCCTTGCTTAACCCCAGGAATCTGAGCATTGCCCCCTGGGCTCTGGTAGTGTTACCGGATTCCCTTGACTCTCCGCAGTTCTTGGTTTCAGTCTTCAAGGACCGATGGGAGAGAGTCCTTCAGCCACCAGGCAAGCCTCGGTGGCAAAACTGACTCCGAGCCTGCCCTTATTAGTCAAATAATGGGGGCATCTCAAGGGTTTGCATAATCAGGCTTCCAGAAAAATGAATGCCAGCCTTACTTCTCTGGGTACCTCTGAAAACCTTGAAGCACTTTGTGGACTATTTGTCAAGGGACAGTGAATCATGAAAATCACTACTGATGTATTCGTTGTGCCTCTGTAAAGAGGAAACCACCAAGTATCTGTATGATGGAGGTTATTTTCTTTTTGGGCTCCAGGTTCCTCTGTGAGAAATTGGATTTGAGTTTGGTGGTCTCTTAAGGTTACTTTTTTTTTTTTCTGAACAGGGTGTCTCGTCCAGGCTGGCACAAACTTGGAGGTCTCCTGCCCTAGCCTCTGCTGTGCTGGGGTTATTGGTGTGAGCTGCTACATTTAGGGCTACATTTTGGTGTTTTATGATCTGTTCATGGCACAGTACAGGTTAGAAACTATATTCTCCAATCTAGTGCTACAGTTAAAGCCCACACGACAAGCCAGGTATTGTGGCACACACAGGGGGACTGTTGAGTTTGAGGCCAGCCAGGTAATATTATTCAAGCTATCCTGGGCTGCCCGAGACTGTCTCCGAAAATTAAAAGAAGTAAGGCTTATCCAGCACAGTGAGTCTGTGGTTGGGATGAGGATAGTTCCTCCATTTGGGGGGGGCACAGGTGATCCAGGACACAGGAAGCATAAGCAGCCCATGGCCTTTAATACATTCCACAGCTTCCAAGTCACAGCTCACCCTGTGTCATTTGCTCGTAACTTCCACAGACTTACAGCCCAAGCCCCTGAGAAAATGGAGACGAGTACTGCTGTTAGGGAAAGTGATGCATGCTAGCCCCAGAATGGAACCAGTTGGAATCCTGGAGGTTATGGGCATAAGAAATAGAAAACAGCCAGCACGCCTGTAATCCCAGCACTCTGTGAATTCGAGGCCAGCCTGTCTACAGAGCGAGTTCCAGGACAGCCTCTAAAACAATACAGAGAAACCCTGTCTCGAGAAAAAAAAAAAAAAAAGAAATAGAAAACAAAAATGAAGGCAGGAGGTGACAGTTTGGTCCATACCCAAGCCAATGAACTGGAAAACCTGGAGTTTAATGTGATACCCACATTCACACCTCACGCCCTTCCTGGGGGGCTCTAGGCGAGAGTTGGGTTTTACTGGCTGTTTTTCCTTTCCTTGTCTTTCCCTCCCTCCCTTTGTTCAAGATTTATTCATTTATTGTGTATGCAGTATTCTGCCTGCATGTGTGCCTGCAGACCAGAAGAGGGCACCAGATCTCATTACAGATGGTTGTGAGCCACCATGTGGAGGCTGGGAATTGAGCTCGGGACCTCTGGAAGAGCAGCCAGTGCTCTAACCTCTGAGCCATCTCTCCAGCCCCCTCACTTGTTTCTTTGAACATGTAGGACATTTGCCTTTATTTCCTCCCTTGTGGTCTCTATGGGACAACCCTTTCCTTGAGAAGGGATGGGCATTGTAGCTCCTGTTCTCCAAGTCCACAGTTGATCCACCCTCCTCAGCGGCAGTTCTTAAAGGGGAAGAGGATGTTCCTTCCCGGTGTTATAGTTGACCAAGGACCTCCCAGGTAACTGGCTCCTGCATCCTTTCCACAGCTGGCATCTCACTCCTCTTCCTGCCAGGTACCAACACATCAGAATTCAGTTTGGGGCTTGTTCCTTTGCCCCTCCGGTCATTCCTCAAACAGATGTACACTAAGCATCATCTGACCTTGTACAGAACCAGTTTGATGTATCCTGGGGATCACCTTAAGGTTCAGCAAAGTCAGGGGAGGTGCTGCACTGGGAACCACCCAACACTCTCTAGTATTCAACAAGGAGCCCAGGGAGACTGGGTTGAGGTTCAGTTGTGGCATCATTCCTAGTGTGTGTGTGTGTATTAATGTTACTTAATGTTAACAGTAGTAACAGCTCCCATTTAACTTTTGTGTGCTAAATGTGTGACATGCATGTTTAAAACAGCACTGTGACTTGAGCATTCTCTCTGTTTTAGAATTAAGTCCAGGCTTAGTAATTTGTTCAAGAGTGCAGGATTGTGAGCCCAGGAGGTTCCCATAACTATGAGCAAGTTTAATATATCAGGTGAAAGCCTGGAGATTGAACTGAAAGACAAGATGTCTGGTCGTTTGTGCTAAAAGGTCTCTTCTTTCTTGTAGAGAGGGAGCAGTCTTACATACAGGCTTACAGCACAGTGGAAAAATCCCAGGTGGAAGAGATCATGTTTTCCTCATGCTAGATGTTGATGTCAGTGGAGCAAGGCCTGGGCAGCTAAGCCAGGACTAGAAACAGGATGCACTTGTTGGTTGACCAGCCACTCAGAGAGACCCTGTGGAGGCTGGGGCCCAACATCTCCCCCTTCTTTATAAAGAAATTAGCACCTGTCTCAGGTGACTAGGACATCAAAGCCAACCTTACCCGTCAATGGAGAAATCACCCAGGCTGCATGACCCTCCTTGTCTTAGATTGGCTGGCATCCCCTTAGTCTCACCTGTCATTGACTGTGTAATTTTTCTGTAAACTCAACTGTAGTCAAGCTGAAGGATTCTCTGTGGTCCTTGAGTGGCAAATGGAGCCTGGACTTATCTAGTACCAAGGCGCCATAGTCAAAATAAGCATATGATAGTAAGTCCTATGGCTACAAGGCCCAGAGATAGGCCCAGCCCTTCTTTGATTAAATGGCCTGCCATCTATAATCCCCCAAGAAGCATCTATCTAGGGGATGAAGGAACCCGGGTCTTGTTCATCCTAATAATTCGGTTGGTCAATTGATAAGTATTAACTTTGGCAGCGGTAACATAAATGTAAGCCAGGGTAGGTGAACAGGTTTAATTCCTACCTGGACTAAGTTTTTTAAGGATCTGAGTGCTGAGAAACTCTGTTACTTCCCCTGCTGGTTTATCTACTGTGCTGGCTGTAGTTACAGACTGTGAGATGGGAGTCCCAGATACAGTGGCTGCTGTAGCAGCAACAGCAGTGGCTTTAATCACCCCAGCAGTGATGCCAAAATCTCTTTTTTTGCTCTTTAGGGCAATGGCATAGGCACGATTCTGGGAACATGAACCACCAAGACTGATATTTCACCACTCCAACAGCTTCGTAAGAGGCCATGTCCTGTTCAAATACTGAAAAGGGGCTTTTGGCCGGGCGTTGGTGGCGCACACCTTTAATCCCAGCACTCGGGAGGCAGAGGCAGGCGATCTCTGTGAGTTCGAGACCAGCCTGGTCTACAGAGCTAGTTCCAGGACAGCCTCCAAAACAATATAGAGAAACCCTGTCTCGAAAAACCAAAAAAAAAAAAAAAAAAAAAAAAGAAAAGGGGCTTTTGTCGCTCATCATGGTCCGTACCAGTGTCCAATTGTTTTAAATGGGTCCATTTCTCCCCAAAGGGAAAAACTGGCAAAATGAATTCTGTGTCTCAAGGTGTGTCAAGGGCAAATGTAGCGAGCTGCCAGTATGTTGGCAGCTACAATGCTACCATACTTCACAACAATCTGAGGCTAAGGATGAAAATAAAGACAAAGAGCAGCTCATTCTTACAAGGAGAATGACATTATTACAAGGGTAGAGGGATAGAGTCTTATATACCAAAGTCGGGTATGGTGGAAAAACACCAAGAAGCCTACTTTCCCAGGGCCCTCCAGCAAAGGGTGGGCCAAAAACAGGAATTAGCATTTAGACAATAAACAGGAACTTTCATGCAGGCCTTACTGGGAGGAGGCGATGAGAAGTGTTTTGCTAAAAGCCCCTAGTAACAAATGGTCAACAGACAAACTCTAGTCACCCAGTTCTTTGTAAGCTCCCGGATGAAAACTCAAGGTTCTGGGAAGTTGATGCAGCAGGCCTGTTGAAAAACTGGAAATCTCAACCGACTGTTTCCTTTCTTAGGCTGTAGATTTGATGCCATCAAGGGTTAGGAACACTGGTTCAGGGGATCTCATTGAACTGACTTGGGCAGGTTCCCATGGTCTCAGGTCCAGTTTTTCTCTGCTTCATGCATTTCACCAAATGTTCTGGCAGTCAACAAGCTTTATTCTTTTCCTGCAAGAAAATACACACACGCCTTTAACCCCAAATTACAGCAGAATCGGGTCTTCTCCACTGTCTAGTGTATGGATGTCTCCATTTGACCTGAGCAAAAGTCGATCAAGTTCATCATGCCAGAATCTGTCTACAGCAGATTGCTCACTGGCATACACATTTAAGAAAAATTTGCGATGGCCTTTGGTTATGCACGACTTTAATCCCAGCACTCGGGAGGCAGAGGCAGGTGGATCTCTGAGTTTGAGGCCAGCCTGGTCTACAGAGTGAGTTCCATCATCTCTCCATTCGAGAAGTTCTGAGCTGCACTCAGGAGCTACAGCCGTACCCACTCCTTGTAATGTGGCGCGGCACAATGGTAGCCAATCACTAGGAGTACAGTTTAAGGCTAAACGTGAGCAGTAATTTACTTTTACTAACTGTTCCTCCTGGGCATTTTTTAATGTTTTTTCAAGATCAGCCATTTGTTCCTTCATCTTAGCACTACGCTCAATAGGGCATCCTTCACTAATCTCCAAAGGGGAAAAGTGGCAATAGGAAAACTTTCTGGTCCCTCTTTCTAAAGAGCCTTTTGAAGGTCATTTTTAACTTGTTCCCAAACAGAGATATTAAGCCCTCCAGAGTGTAAAAACTATGGACTTGTCTTTTCCAAAGTTAAAATAAAATCTTTAGCTGTCTCTTGCTCAATGCTAGTACCTTGTCTCTTTAACAATTCTACTAACTGTTCCATCAACACAGCCTTAGAAGCTGAGGTACCCATTTCCCAATACACCCTCAAATCCTTACCTGCTGCTGCTGGCTAGTCTCTGAGGGTGATCTCTCAGGTTCCCCTTTCTTTCCTGACCTTGGTGTCAGGTAAAAGCCTGGAGATTTAAGTGAACCTGTTTTCAATTCACCTTCATAAATTCTTTGAATGCGATCTCTTAGGGTCTTCTTTCTTTCATGGTATCAGTGGAACCTCTAATTGTGGCTCACTGTGCCACAAGCACATCTAATATATCAAGCGAAAACCTGGAGATTGAACGTCTGGTCGGTTGCACTAAGAGGTCTCTTCTTTCTTGTAGAGAGGGAGCAGCCTTATATACAGGCTTACAGCACAGTGGAAAAACCCCAGGTGGAAAAGATGGTGTTTTCTCCATGCTAGATGTTGATGTCAGTGGGCAGCTAAACCAGGACTAGAAAACAGGATGCACTTGTTGGCTGACCAGACACTCAGAGAGACCCTGTGGGGGCTGGGACCCAACATTGCCACAGTCTCTGTGTGTAACCATGGTGGTATGTACTTTTCTTTGATTAAGAACAAAATTAAAAACCTTGCTGTATATCCTGTATCATAGAGAAAGACTGTCATTCATTATGCTGTGGCTTCCTGTCCTCCAAGGGACCCAGACTTTTATCCCACCTTCTCCTGTGCCAACATTCCAGTTCTGCAGGGGCAGCAAGGCACTAGCCATCAGCCTGCTAGAGAGCTTGGGAACCCATTTAAGTGCCAGCCTCCCACGCAGTGGGCTCTCCTGGCTCTGGCCAGCCCTCCAAACGCCTGGTGCGCCACCTTCCCTCCCTCTCCCTCCATCATCCTTCCCCAGGTAAACGCTTCCTTTTATTTGTTTGGGTTTTTTGAGACAGGGTTTCTCTGTGTCGCTTTGGAGCCTGTCCTGGAACCCACTCTGGCCTCAAAGTCACAGAGATCCTCCTGCCTGCTGGGATCAAAGGCGTGTGCCACCACTGCCCGGCCTTTTTTTTTTTTTTTTTTTTCTTGCATGACCAGGTAAACTCTTGGATGTTTCTTGAGAAAGGTTCCTGGCTTAGGACAACTGCTAGGTAGTCTTTGCTGGGCTTCCTGTCTGTAGCCCCTGGTATTATCAATTAGGTAAATGTGATCTTGGGAGAGGACATCAGTTTCCTGAGCTTACCCCCATTCTCAGCTATATGGACGAACAGGAGTCTTCTGGGTTGTTTGCTTGTTTTTTTTGTTTGTTTTTTTTTTTTTTTGCCTTGGTTTTGTTTCGTTTTTTGAGACAGGGTTTTTCTGTGTAACAGCCCTAGCTGTCCTGGAACTGACTCTGTAGATCAGGCTGACTTCAAACTCACAGAGATCCACTAGCCTCTGCCTCCCAAGTGCTGAGATTAATGGTGTATGCCACCAACACCCAGCCTTTTCTGGTTCTTTACTGAGCGGCTACAGCACTTGAGAATAAGCAGGTATTTTTCTTTAGTCCCCAAGGTTGGATGACCTGAACTGAGCTACCTCCTTGTGTGGCGCCTGCACCACAAGCTAGGTCCGAGGTATCAGGAAAAGAGAGACTAGACGTACAAACTGTTTGTACTAAGAGAATGCATTGTTGCCTTTATTGCCAGGAGAGTGTGTGTGTGTGTGTGTGTGTGTGTGTGTGTGTGTGTGTGTGTGTGTGTGTGTGTGTGTGTGTCTTCATTGCAAGTGCTAAGAGCTCTCCCTCTTGTAAGAGGGAGGAGCTTTATATACAGGTTTACAGCACAGTGGAAAAACCCCAGGTAGAAGAGATGTTGTTTTCCTCCTGCTAGATGTTGATGTCAGAGGGTCAAGGCCAGGGCAGTAAGCCAGGACTAGAAAACAGAAAGCACTTGGACTGGAAAACAAGTTGCCCTTGTAGGCTGACCAGCAACTCACAGAGACCCCATGGGGCTGGGGCCCAACATCCTTGTGCACATAAATCATAGGTGCCTCATTCTAGGAACCCTGAACCAAGAAAGCTATCAGTGTACCACAAACCTTGTAAAATGGGGAGGGGACTATTATGCACTGTCTTGCGTGTTATTTGTGTGCCTAGTCCTTTTGAGATTCCCAGAAGACTTTCCTGTTGAGATGTCGCTTTCCTGGTGCATGAGTTCAAGATTCTCCCTGCCTCTGGCATTTCCTTACCTTGTAAGTGGACTAGTGTAGCAAAATCATAAATTCTACCACCAAAAAAAAAAAAGTGAGACTTCCTTTCTTTCCTCACACCATTCTTTCCAAGATTCACCTACACTTCTTACAGTGCCAATAAGCAAAGAAGAGTGTGCCCGGGAGAGCTGCAGAGGTGGGAAATAGTGA